CCAGGCTTTCTGCGTCAGCCTGGGACTGCTAAGACATCCAGGCTTGTGGACTCAGTCTCTCCACTCTGAGACAGCCATTGCTGGAATACCTTGGATAAGGCATTCCATAAGTCCACAAATGGCGGTTTTGGCAGAAGCATTACATGCAGGAAAGGCAGATCTATAACCAGAATAAGTATCTGCTCTAGTAAGGAAAAAGCATTGTCCTTTCTCTAGAGGAATAGCTTCAGTGTAGTCAGCTTGCCACCAGGTCACTGGCTGGTCACTCTGGGGAATGGTGCCATATCTGGGGTTCATTCTGCCTGCTTCTGGGTGGCGCCTGCATACCATGCAGAAACAGCAGTAAACTGGGCTCTGGTCTTCTCTTCTTCAGTCAACTGATTATAGGTTATGCCCGTGAGGCTCTAGAGGCATGCTTAGGAGCAGATGATATTTCAGTGGGAGTAAAAACCATAGGCATATGACAACTTCTTCATGTAACTTGTTTATGCCTTTAAAACCTGCTCCAGCCCTGATCATGTATATACCACTTCTATTTGACAATGGATTGCTGATGTGCACATCCTACTTTATGGTCTCTTTTAGGATTCACCTATGAGGGCCTGCCAAAGGCTCCAAATAGCATCCCTATATGCTGCTGACACCTCAAATATCACTGGGTCTGCAGAATCATATGGTCCAAGTGGTAGAGCATGCTGCACCTTTTCCAGGTTCCACTCAAAGATTGCAGCTTTCTCAGTCACTTGGTATATGGGCTGAGTCACTTGATATAACACACCCAAGTAGGGAATATGCTGTCTCTAGAAATCTAAATAGGCCGCTAAACATTGTGGTTCTTGGTGGTGGGAGGGGCCAGGTCAATAACTTATCCTTCATCTTAGAAGGAATACCTTTGTACGCCCCATAGCACTGGACTCCTAGGAATTTCTTTGAGATAGATGATCCTTGAGTTTTGGTTGGATTTATTTCCCTGGAGGTTGCTACCTCCTGATCACTTGATCAAATCAGCATAATGTCATCAATATAGTGGTATTTTGTGGAAGAGACAGGTGATCAAGATCCCTTCTAATTAAGTTATGACACAGATCGGGAGCGTTAATATATCCCCAAGGCAAAACTGTAAAGGTATACTGTTGGCTTTGCCAAATGAAAGCAAATTGCTTCTGGGGTTCCTTATGGACAGGTACCAAGAAAAAGGCAGTTTCTAGACCAACAGCTGCATACCATGTACTAGGAGATGTATTAATTTGCTCAAGTAAGGACACCATGTCTGATACAGCAACTGCAAGTGAAGTTATTATTTGATTAAATTTTCAATAGTCAACTTTCATTCTTCAAGATCCATCTTTTGTATGGGTTAGATAGAAGAGTTAAAAGGAGATGTGGTAATAACCACCATCCCTGCATCTTTCAAGTCCTTGATAGTGGCACTAATTTCTGTAATTCCTCCAGGAACACATTACTGTTTGTTGGAACACGGTCCAATAAACAATGGAATCGTGGGAGGACAATTCTGAGTGCTTGTGAGAAAACTTCAAGAAAACAAGTCTTGTGACCTCAGTTTCTTTGAAACATGGAATTGTTCTTGGGTTATGCTTTCGCACCCCTTCCAGGTATAGAGGATAGACATGAGTTTACTTCAATTATTCATTACAACTGGCTATTGTTTATGTACATCTATGGAAAAACATGTTTCTGCCATGTCCATCATGGCTTGTCCATCACGTGTGACTTGCCCTTATGATGGGACACATTACTCTTGTGACTCCTCTTAACCCTTAACTGTCTGATCCTATGAATAAAGTTGGCTATTGCCAAGTTTAATGAGAACTTAATCTGCTTCATTTATCGACTCCATTCTTCCATGTTCTACAGCCTCTAGAGAGGTAAACACTGTGTTTGACTCACTATCTTCGTGGCAGAGATAACTCTAAAACAGTGTGGGAATTCTGCCAACTTCTAGGCATATCTATCGCAATTACACATTCTGAGACTGGGGAAATAATCACAGGATGAATTTGAGGACCCAGTGGACCTACTGTGAGTTGAACTTCATTCACAACCCCAATCTCCAGACTCCTATAGGCTCCTACTTTAACTGGAGGGTCACGTTGTTTCTTGGGATCTCCTGGAATCAGTGTCAGTACTGAACCAATACCCAATAGAGCCTGGAGTCTATCTCCTTCCCCCTAGTGTACACTTACCCTTGTAAAAGGCCATAGGTCCCTTTGGGAAGGACTGGAGAAAGGCTAGCTAAAATTTTAGACTGCCCCTTCATTCAAGCAGATTTGAGATTGCACACTGGCTCAAGTATGGAAATTGGTTCATGGGCCAAGATTCCCCTTTGCCATGATCCAACGGAGTCATTCTTTCATTTGTCTGAGAATTTTCTTCTTACACAAATCAAACAAAAATGCAGTAGGCTTCTTACCTACTTCATGCCAGAAAGCATTGCGACTGGTGAGCCCGTACCATAGGTTCATAGGAGGCACGCCACTGTAAAACTCATTTTGCCCTCTGCTGACCACTATGGGTCTGGCCGTTATGGACATTGCTTTGTCTGTGCTGCCCCTTACTATGATCACCTTGCCTTTGGTGATTCAGTGCTGCCATGTGACCCTCCAGTTAAAGTAGGGGCCAAATTAATTTATCTAACTGAGCAGCGGCATCTCCAGCCCTGTCTGGCCTAAGGAAAAGGGCGGCGATAAGGCTCTTCAAGTGTGCTGGTGCCTCTCTTGCCAGTTTGCATCTTATAGGACTAGCAAAGGGCATGTCTTCTGGGCCTTCCCATTGCGAAGGATTTGGTTTTACATGGTATAGTCACTCCAGCATTGCAGTTTTCCTGAGCTTTGAAATCCCTTCATAAACATTAAGACAAGGGATACTAGCCATCACTGATTCCTTTTTAGTAGGCCGTCTTTTGACAAATGCTTTAGTCAATTATTCAAACAAAATTTTGCACCTTTTAAATTGTGTGAGCTAGAATCTCCACTTAGTGCGTCCATATCAATAAACTCAGCCTGATCCAGTTTTATGTTCCTTTTCCAATGGTCCCATACCCTTAAATCCATCCACACACACATTTCCCAGACTTCTGTTTGAACGAATTAGCAATCTCATTAAGCTCTTCAGTATTGTAGCATAGCTCCTCATGGACTGCACTTTCTACTTCCCTCTAGGAGCCCGCTCAGCCTCAAGCCTGGTTACAGGTCTACAGGCAAATATTGGTGGACTCTGAGGGACATCAGTACTGGCTTGCTTAGCATCTCCTTTAGGGAAAGTCACTGCTAGTTTAGCAGACAATGAAGGATTAATTCTGTCAAAGGCAGAAAAAGCAGTATTTCAGGGGGATGGATGGGACTCCATCTTCTACTAAGGGTGGAGACTACTCTCTCAGGTGAGATAAACGCTTGAGAATCTGAGGGTTCAAAGTTCTCAGCCTTAATAGGATCCTCCTGCACATCTCTATCCCAAGTTATATATCCTGGTCTTTACCAATTAACACTTTAACCTCTGACACTCTCCAAGACTGGGATTGAATTTTCTGTGTGATTCAGCCAACCTTATAATGAAGGCTTTGGTTTGATTTTCTGCAACTTGAGCTCTGTGGCTGCTGGAGAGAAGATTCTCTTCTAGGGCACACATAGAAACCTTTAGACTGTTTATGCACATCTGGAGCTGGTCAGTTTTATCAGGGTTCATTGTTCTTCACCATGTTTTGAGATGCTAGAAGTTGTAAACTTTATCATAGAGCTAATCACTTTTCTTTGTCAGATTATTCAAAGATGTTAGGAGCAACCAACCAGCATCATCATTTTCCCTATTTCTCCACAGATGATCACCAAATATGGAGCCTTTTACAATTGGTGAATCAGGATAATCAAATGGATTTGTGCCCGTAAGTGTGTAAAATACTTCACACCATGGGCTTTCAGTACTCCCGGAGCTTTTAGGAGAGGCTTCAGTAACTGTAGGTGTCTGCAAACTGGAATGATAGTTACCTAAAGAATTCATCCTTATACTTCTGCCACTCTAGAACCCCTTCTGTTACCAAAACCTGTGTTAGATAGGTTCTCTAGAGGAACAGAACTGATATAGTGAATACCTCTGTCTCATACACACACAGACACACATAGACACACAGACACACACAGACACAGACACAGACACACAGACACACAGACACACACACAAGACACACACACAAGACACACATACACAAGACACACACACATAAGACACACACACAGACACACACACAGACACACACACAGACACACACACAGACACACACACATACACAAGACACACACACATAAGACACACACACAGACACACACAGACACACACAGACACACACACAGACACACACACAGACACACACACAGACACACACACACAGACACACACACACATACACAAGACACACACACATAAGACACACACACAGACACACACAGACACACACAGACACACACACAGACACACACACAGACACACACACAGACACACACACACACAGACACACACACAGACACACACACATAAGACACACACACAGACACACACAGACACACACAGACACACACACAGACACACACACAGACACACACACAGACACACACACACACAGACACACACACAGACACACACACACAAGACACACAGACACACATACACAAGACACACAGACACACACATACACAGACACACACACAAGACACACAGACACACAACACACACACACACACACACATACACACAAAGAGGATTTATTAGAGTGCCTTGTAAGTGCTAGTCCATTGTTGGTAGGGAACAATGGCTGTCTACCAATGGAAAGTCAAAGAACCCAGTAGTTGTTCAGTCCCCCAGGCTGGTTGTCTCTGATGGTCTTTAGTGCTGGAATCCTGAAGAAGTAGATTCTAACGCCAGTAAAGGAATAGCATTGTCAGTCAAGGTGAGATTCCCAAGCCCCACATTTTGTTTCTGGTAAACTGACATTGTTTTGTAAAGTTTAATGATGGTTTTGTATTGCAGACTCTTTTCTGATGAGGTTTCATACCTCTGAAAGCTTTGAACTGAAGTATACACATTTGAGAAAGGCTTATTTTTAAAAACATTGCAGCATCTGGCCCTAGGATTGCATAGGGCTCCTACATGGGAAGGTGAGCCTGAACTCCAACGGCGGTCTCCTCAGAGGTGGGGGGACCAGCCAGCTACAGCAATGTTCTCACCAGTGATATAGCTGGCTTCTGGGGAGCAGAGGAAAGACACGAGTCCGGCACAGTCCTCAGGCCGACCCACTCTGTATGGAGAGAGGAGATGAGGCTGAAACAGTGATGCCCTCCCCAAGGGCCCCAAGCTCTTGTGTGAAACTGCAGAATCAAGTCCCTGTGGGGATGAGGGAAGAGCTACAAGTGAAGACTTGTGGGCTCTGCAAGGAGCTACAGAGGCCGTCTCAAGCCTTTGGGGATCTTCAGATACTAGAAAGGGGAATGGCCAATGACCCACAGAGCACTGGACGATGATGTTCCATCTTTCATGTGGGTTCTGAGGTTGTGTTAATTCAGATCTATAAGGGAATCTGCCTCACGATAACCTACCTCTGCATTCCATAGAAATACTTCAAATGTTCCTCACAGGCTGAGTCTTCGGTGAGCTAAAGGCAAGGTCAAAAGTTAGGGTACTCTTCATGCAAGATGCAGCCATGTGGGTGCTACATGATGCATGCTGTGTGCTCTCGAAAGGGCTCCTGTGGGATGACCCTAGTTTTGATTCTAATGTGGATCCCAAAAGCTGTGGACCAGAACATCTGAGCAAAAGAGCCCAGAGGTTTAAGCCTAAGAGTGCAGGTCCCACCAGGAGAACACAGTCCACAGAATCAACTAAGCAGGGGTCGAATAGGTTCACAGAGATGAGGCGGCGATCACAGAGCCTGCACGGTCTGCACTAGGCCCTCTGTATGCATGCTGTGGTTGTTTAGGTGTTTGTGGGACTCCTAACAATGGGAGTTGGGGTGCCTCTGACTCTCTCGCCTGCTTGTGGGACCCTTTTCTTCCTACTGGACTGCCTTGTCCAGCCTTGATATGAGGGTTGGTGCCTGATATCGTGTCTTATTTTGCTGTGTTTGGTTGCTATCCCTGGGAGGAGTGGGGGAGGGGATGACTGGGGAGCACGGAGGGAAGGGAAGCTGGTCAGGATGTGTTGTGTGAGAGAGTCCAAAGAAGAAAAGAGTGCAGGGAGATCTCTGGCAAGTGGCAGGTGCCCCGCACTTAGTGACTAGAAGAGCTTCCCGCCCTGGGCTCTCACCACTCGGCCGAAGTCTGTGTTGATGACTCCTGGTACCAGGCAGTTCACTCGGATGCTCTTTGGTGCCAGCTCGACTGCCAGAGTCTTGGTTAGTCCCAGTAGGGCTGTTTTACTGACGTTGTAGACGCCCAGCCTCTGGGGACAGAAAGGACTGGATGGAGAGACCGGAACTGAGGACAAGGAAGGGACTCATGCTTCCTGCGTTATGCTCAGGGACTCTGTCCTGGTAACAAATCCTCGTCATCAAGTTCGGATGACAGTGTCCAGAGGAGATGGCACGTGTCCTGCTAAGCACGTTTATAGAAGATGAAATAGCTCTTTGGCATATGAGCAGTTCTGAGGAAGCCTGTTGTTAAATGTTGCTTATTTCCAAGCACCCAATTTCCTGGATGAAAGGGGGAGTGTCCTCTTACCTGACTGAAGCCACAGATGATACTTACAGGAAGGGGTACATAGGCTGCCACCGAGGACACCAGGACCACCGCACCTTGTCTGCAAAGATGAAGAGGGACAGACGTCAGCTGAACACAGCCATCCTGTGTGAGACTGAGAATGGACTTGTGCTGAGGGAAGGAGGGTTAGGAGTGAGGGAGAACAGCCGAGGTCTGGTAGGAGGATTTATCTTCATTTTCCTTTAGGTTCTCAATAATGTTTATCAGGCTTTATCAACAGAGAAGCCATCTGTGCTTGGACTTTGTTTTTAGAAAAAAAATTGACTATGGATTACTATTGTTATGCTAAATGGACATAATATTAAACCTACTCTTATTTTATTTTTGGGACAGGATCTCTCTATTGTGTAGCTCTGACTGTTCTGGAACTTGTTTTATAGACCAGGCTGGCCTCAAACTCACAGCGATCTTCCTGCCTCGGTCTCCTGAGTGTTAGGATTAAAGGTGTGCTCTGCCACTGCCTGCCAAACTGACTTTTAATAACCTTTATTTATAACACTGGCTCTCTCAACCCTCATCAGAGAAGCTTCTGTTTGTGGTATATGGAATGTACAGAGAAACCCACAGTTGGTCAAGGTGAAGCGCATAAGAGATTTTGGGATGCTCAGCCAACATGGGACAGCTATATCACACTTCTTCCTGCCAAGGCTCAGAGGTCATTCTGGAAGAGGGTGCTGGGAGAGTTTAAGAACCAGAGGTTTTGGATGACTGCACTGAAACCGTGTTTTTCAGACCCGGCAAGACAGCTCTACAAATGAATGCACAGCTGTTGTGACAGCTTGCTCAAGACCTACACAACTCAACTCAGACCTACTCCCAACACAGAGCGGTGGACATGGCGACCCACCCTGAGGGAGGAGCTGTGGGCAGTCGCTGGCTGCTGGGAGGGGAGAGGCAGTCTGCTTCCAGTGTAGCCCTTGGTAGGTCAGCCCTGCTCCAGTGGGAGGCCGTGCATCCAAGAGTGTGTTAGAACGCAGACCGGGCTTGAGATAGCAAAGGGAAAAGAGGCGTGAACTTGGGTGGGGTGAGTTGTTCCGGGAGGAGCTAGGGAAAGGGTGAATATGATCAAAATGTGTTGTATGAAATTCTCAAAACCTAATAAAATAAGAAAAAAGACTAGAGATATCTCCTATGTGTTACTGAATTAATTTTGGTAGGTTATATAATTTTTTAAAATTGTGTTTCATTATAGTTTCATCATATGCTCATCACAAAGTTTTCTGGTTGGCTTTATCATTTGCTTAATGCCTTTTTATTGCCTTCAGTGTCTCTAGTGGTGCTTTTGTCTTTATTCCTGATATTATTTCTTCTTCCCTTCCTCAGTTTCACTAGCAATTTGTCAAAAGCACTAGTTGTGTGTGTGTGTGTGTGTGAGTGTGTGTACAGGACTGTGTGAGTGTGTGTGTGAGAGAGTGTATGTGTGAGTGTGTGTGCGTGTGTGTGAGTGTATGTGTGTGAGTGTGTATGTGTGAGTGTGTGTGAGTGTGTATGTGTATGAGAGTGTGTGTGAGTGTGTATGCCTGTGAGAGTGTGTGAGTGTGTGTGTAGGACTGTGTGAGTATGTGTGTGTGTGAGAGAGTGTATGTTTGAGTGTGTGTAGGACTGTGTGAGTGTGTGTGTGAGTGTGTGTATAGGACTGTGAGTGTGTGTGAGTGTGTGTGAGTGTGTGTACAGGACTGTGTGAGTGTGTGTGAGTGTGTGTGTGTGTGTGTGTACAGGACTGTGTGAGTGTATGTGTGTTCAGGTGTCCCTGCATGTGTGTATGGACATCAGAGGACAAGCTCGGGTGTCATTTCTCAGGTGTTGTGCACTGTCTTTAAGGGAGGATGCTTCACCGGTCTGAGCTCTCTTAGCTCCTGGGCTAGGCTGGGTGGCGAGCACCTCCAGCAGCGAAGCACTTGGCTTTCTTACTTGGGCTCTGTGGAGCAAGCTCAGGTACCTCCCTGCCCCCAGCTTGGTGATTTTATATTTTAACAGTGTTTACTGACATACTAAGAGCCAGTTAATATCTCACATTCAATAGTGTGATTTTTTAAAAATCCTACCCCCAGTTCCTTTTTGTCCGTTATCACTTTCTTTTGGATTTTTTTCTTTGTTTTGTTCCTACCTCGTATCTATTAGTTTAAAAATGTGTTTTGTCCTCTACGGACATTGTTGGAACTGTTTGTACAGAAAATAAAATGGAACTGTTTAACTAATTAACGTGTAATATTCTGGCTCAGTCTGAACAACATGTGACTCTCTTAATAGTGTAACTCGCTTTCTAGGCACTGTGAAACCTCCAAAACATCTTTGTGTTGGGGAATAGATAGTTTAGTTTGTTCCTGCTGATATTTTCTCTGCCTCTAGCTCTAATTTTTGTCTCAGGTTTGTTATACAGACTGGTTGTCTAATTCTTCTTGCAGGAAGCATGTGGCTTAGAATGCCCTTCAGTGGCTGACTCCTGTCTGCCCTGAGTTTTTTGAGAGATGTGTTTGTTAAGCATAGAATTTCAGGTTGAGAGTTCCTTTTCCTCCAGCATCCAGGAAGCTCCATTTAAACTGGGTCATGAAGAAGGATAATTAGGATTTTAGCAAGTAGATAAGAATGAAACAATTTAGATGGAGTTCAGTTCATGAAATCCTGCCTCCTTCAAAAACATTGAAGCAATTTTGCTTGCTTAGATCCCAGAATAATAGCAATAAATTAATATTTTTACAAATGATAAGCTGAGTTTAATTATTAAATTTTATCTGTACTACTTATATGATAAACTAAGCTGCAGGTCATTTTACTTTCAAACAATATCTATTACTTATTATAGCAAATATATAGATGGATGTTTTTACTTCATTTGGGAGCTGGCATGTTTTATCATGTCAGATGTGTTCACAAGTCCGCTACTCATCTGAGCTCTTGCTCAGTAGATAAACGCAGACTGTACATGGCAGGAACGCCCAACAGTGCTGAGTGCCATCTGAAGGTGCCTCTGGCTTGAAAGTCTACGCAGCCTTCTCATTAGTCCTTTCAGCAAGTTTTGCGAAGCTTGGTTCTGCAGAGGTGCCCAGGTCAGGTACCAGGAAACAGAAAATCCACACATCAACCCGAGCATCGTCTACTTCTGTCTGTCTGTATCACACTCCCACAGAGAGCATCTTCTGATGGACAGGGCCATGCTGCTAAAGGAGACTCTGAAGTCATCCGATTGAGATGCACCCTATGAACGACTACTTGACATTTTTGAAAATATGGCTCAATCTAATCCTACAGTATGCCTGTGTTGGAACTGGAACAGGACTTCATAGTCATAATTAGTTAGAAGCATTGGCTGTATTTCACAGGTGACAACTTAGTTCAGAGAAGCAACACACAGCCTGTACCAGGTACTTGGCTTGTGCTTGCTGGACTCAGAATGCCAACATGGGACCAGACAGGGAAGCGGTCCAGTCGGAAGAAAGATTGGTTTTATTTTCTCCCTGGGGACCTTATGCACACTGAGCATGCACCCACCTCCGCCAAGTTACACACCCAGCCCCGGAACAGGATCTTAAAGCCGTGTGTGCAAAGCACTTGGCCCGGAACAGCCTCCACTCGTCGCTCTGAGTTACAGAGCGAGGGTCACGCTGGCACAGAGGACTGCTGACGCTGGCCTTTAGAGGAGGAGCTGCTGTGCAAGGGGAGAGACCTGGGAGATTTCTTTCGAGAGTGGGCCTGGGCCACGTGGCTGATGACTTTGAACTCTCATCTGCAGTTACATCCAGCTGTCAACGGAAAGCATCTAATGATGGGGGAGGGTCTGCAATGCAGCGGATGAGAACTAGCTCTCAGGAACACGGCCACCGGGTTCCTGCCCCCAAACAGATGCTGTACTCCCAGAGAACACATTTCTGGAAACATCTCAAGTCACTGAGATCAGTGGGAAAGCAAATGAGAGAAAGTCAGTGCCTGGCCTCCCTCACAGGCAAGTCTAGACGGAGCTGGTCAGGTGGACCTCTGCACCAGCCTGTGAGGAGACCGCCACGGAGCGGACTACAGAGATGCCACAAGGCACCTCAGGTTCACCAGTCCTTGTGACCTGAGTTCCTGCACTCCCAGAAGAAGTGACTCTCACTTTGGTTTCTGGGACAGTTGTGGGAACTCCTGCCTTCCTGTATCTGGAGCCCCCCACCCCCCCCCATCCCTCACATCCCCACGGCCCCCACAGACCTTCCAAGACCCACACCCCTGTTCTCCTTTCGTAAGACAAATTCCTTGGCCATTGCATTCTCTGGGCACAATAATGGATATGGTTCTTTCATTTCTTTAAATGACCTCAAAGTTTGAAGGCAGACTCTTGTCCTTGTATTATTGGCACACTCTTGCTTCCCTGCTCCCTGTTTGATACCAAGCAATTCCTTCCTTTCCCCATCCATCCTTACCCCCTGCTTTCCATATGGGGCAGCAGCTGGCTCAGTAGCAGGGCTGGGGCCTTGACATTCACACTCAGGATCTGAAATCAGAGAAAATGAGGGTCGGGAAAGAAGAGATACGATCAATTTAGTGTTCTCTCACAGCAGGAAACACACAATGTAGAACGTGCACACATGTTGCTGCCAAGGGAAATTTATTGAGGGCTTTATGGGGGTTCACGACTTGAAGGTTCACAACTAAAGGGATCAGGTTGAGGACTCTGGGGATTGAAGACCCTGAAGCCTGGGATACCTTTCCGCGTCTGCAAAGGTACCAACTCCATCTGGATCACAGCAGATATCATCAGGGGAGCCTGGGAAAGGCTGAGTTCAGGGTTATATCCTGCAAGGGCCAGTGCTGTGGAGTAAGCATTCCTGGGCAAGGGAGGAAGGACGCTCACTTCTCTAGACGGTCAGAGCTGTAATTTAGATGCCCGTTGCTCCGTCTTACAGATGGGAAATTGAGGCTCAGGGAGTCTGGACCCCTGGCCTTGCCCTGTGTCAGGGAGCTTATGACAGAGTGTAGATGTGTGGAAGCCGAGGAACTCCTCGGTGTGCAAGCTTATGTGAGGAAATGGCTATTCAATGTTGAGGATGGAGTCTACCAACTCTTGTTAGCTTCCTCAGTTCTTACCTTGTCCCAGATCTGCTCACTGCTCCTTAAGGTGCTTCCCACCAAGGGGTTCACCCCGGCAACACACACCAGGAAGTCCACACCCCCACAGTGTTCCAAGGCCTGCGGGCGAGGAGACATGGAGGGAAGGGAGGTTTTTGTTGCAGTGGGACACCATTCCTGCTGCTCTGGGAATATACCTGGATCCAGTCCTGGAGAGGAACAGACCTAAGCAAGGCTAGAGAATGGCTGGCTCCCTTGTCAGGGGACAAAGCTGGGCTTGAGTGGCTGTCATGTCCTCCCGCCCCATCCTCTCAGCACACCTTTCATCTACTCCTTTCCTGAGACACACCGGTCTCCTCCCCATTTCCCAGGCCACTCTAGGTCTGGCTGAGAACCAGGACTGCTTTTTCTATAACACCTCTGTCCGTGATTGGATCCCCACCAAGGGTCTGGTCTTGCGGGAGCGTCTGGTGTCAGACATTCAACGCATGGCTGGATGCAGCTTTCTTCACTCCAAATTGCTCCCCACTCCAACATCACCCCCCCAAAGGTGTCCTTTCTCTGCTCAGGTCTGCTTAGGAGAGACCGTGGACACGTCAAGCGGAACCAAGTGACACAGGCGACGCAGTTCATGCAACGGCGTCTTTAACCGGTTACTCCGGTGTGGATTGCAGACGCCGGAGCTCTACACCGCTCACCCTGGCCACCAGCTGCTCTCGATCTTCTGCCTTCCCCACATGGCACACAGTGCCTGTCGCACTCAGCCCCTCCCCCCTCAGCATGGCCACTGCTCGGTCCACGTTCTGCTGCTTCCGGCTGCTGATGACCACATGGGCCCCGTCCTGGGCCAGACGCCGAGCGATGGAGAAGCCAATCCTGTGGGCAAAGAAGAAGAGGACGTGACAATTCAGACTGGCTTTCTTGCTGGCTGTGTTTTTTGCCCTGAGGTATCAAGTTAATTTTCTCTACTAATCCAGAGCAGCTAGCCTCATGCCTTCCTCCCAGATGATTAAGATGGCCAGAATGGGAAAGAGAGGCTGTATCAGTCCTGGCTGAATTGGATCACTGTGTCCCTCATTAGATCTTGGCCTCATCTACTGGAACCACGACTGACCAGTCCCGCAAGGGCAGGTGCCCCCGTGGAGCTCCTTGACCAGTTTCCGAATGTTGCGGAGTGCTCACAGGCACTCAGCTTGGAAGGAGTTCTCAACCCACAGAGCACTACCCTTGGCTACCAGGAGTTTGGAGCAGTGGTTGAATTCCTTCTGCCTCCCTCCGATGTGTTGCTCTGGGATACATGTGTGTTCCCTACTGGATTTGGAGCCTGTCATAAAGTGGCCTGTATTGGGCCAGGCTGGTAACACGTTTGGCACTGGCTTTGTCTCCTGTCCCTTGGAGTTTCTAAGTAGAATCATATTCTCCAGACAGAGAGCCTCCTGGGCTATGCTTTGTGGGGCCAGGTTTAAGACAAGAGATCAGCAAAATCCAGAAAGGCCAACAGCTTCCGAGTTCCCCCAGGGCTGCTCTCACCCGTTTGTGGACCCTGTGACCACAGCGACTTTGTTGGCCAGTTTGAGCCTGCGGTTTGCCTCATCACTGGTTCTTCTCACAGAGAGTGCAGCCACAGGGCTTGGGAGTCTCTTCCAGTCCAGGGTCAGAGGCCTAAACATTGGGATTCTGTTTGCTCTTCTTTTGATGAGGGTGGCCTGAAGGACAATCACAGATACAAAGCCAGGTCCTGGGGGCGCAGCATGAATTTTGATTCTCTTTGTTGTGCTGAGACCTGAATGATCTGGATGGTTTAGGAATCTCTAGTGGAGGTTCAGCCTAGCAGAGGCATCCAACACCTTGACCAAACATTCACTGCTCCACATTTCCTCAGTGTTCTAGGACCAAGGGTAGGAGGAGGCACAGAGGACCTGGGCTGGGGGGCAAGGGAAGTGTTTGTTGCAGTGGGACACCACTCTTGTTTGGGGTCTCTGGGGACATGCCTGGATCAAATCTAAGAGAAAAAGTTATAAATGTGTCATTGGGTTTCATTCATAGCTGTCATGGAGCTATGCCTGGGCCAACTCAAGAGCCTGTGGTGCTCTCCAGTCCGGTGTTCATGAAAGCAAGAGTTCCTGTGTCCAAGCTTTTAAACTGGGATGTGTTTGGCTGTGTGCGACCCAGTGCTCACATGCACATACAGAGGTTCAGCAAACACCCATCATTGAGACTCCTTAGGCCAATGAACAGCAGATCATTCACAGGTTTGCTGTGAGAGGACCAAAGGCGTAAGGTTGACACACAACAGGCTCTGTGGTGGCTCAATGGCTAGTTAAGGGTCATTAGTTTCATGACTTTGATCTTGTCTCGAGCCTTAGGATACACTACACATCTTGCTTTACCAATACCGCATTCTTCAAGTCTTCTAGGCTGGTCTCTATTTTTATCCCGGTACCCAGGGTGTGTGTGTGTGTGTGTGTGTGTGTATGGTGTGGTGTGTGTGTGTGTATGGTGTGGTGTGTGTGTGTATGGTGTGGTGTGTGTGTGTGTGTATGTATGGTGTGGTGTGTGTGTGTTTGTGTGTGTGTGTGTATGGTGTGGTGTGTGTGTGTATGGTGTGGTGTGTGTGTGTATGGTGTGGTGTGTGTGTGTGTATGGTGTGGTGTGTGTGTGCGTGTGTATGGTGTGGTGTGTGTGTGTGTGTATGGTGTGGTGTGTGTGTGTATGGTGTGGTGTGTGTGTGTGTGTGTGTGTGTGTGTGTGTGTGTGTGTGTTTTCTGGTCCTCAGAGCCGTTATTGTCCTGTGCTTGCTATTCTTGTAACATCCAGCTCCCTGACCCTGAGTGATGGTGCTACATATATAGATCAGTTCTAGCTGGAGCTGGGTGCTGGCCATTGCCGGTTGGTATCTGCTGAAGGGAGTGAATGATTAAGAGAAGGAGGATTTGCTTCACTGACACAGTGTTTTCTTAGGACCCATCATGGATCCATGGGGCAAATTTCTTAGAGTTAGAAGGTTGGGCCCTCCTCCCCAAACTGTTAGCTGTGTCAACTCAGCTCTAGTTTCAAAATATTTATCTCAAAGTAGCCGTTCTGAGCTTTCCAGTGCTCAGGTGTTGGGTAAAGCAGGCGTTGTGTACAAAGTTACTTGTTTTTTCCTCATATTTGAGTACCTGACCTTCTGTTCGAACCTCCATAAATCTATAGCTATGAACATAGCTAAGAAAGCACGGTTCTTATTAAAGCATTTCGACTTTAGTAAATCTTGGGTAAATATCAAAGCAGACAAGTGCTGCTGAGGAAACTTTAAAGACAAATCCGGAATCCATTTTCTTAGGCTTTAACTCCTACACTTCTCATTCACTACGGGTCTTTACTTCCCGGCTAGCTGAAGATACAGAAGAGAGTGCCTGCTTCCCCCCCCCCCGCCCCACTACATCTTATGAATTCACTGAAGGCGATTTAGTCCCAAATCCACAGGGCTTCATCTGTCTAAGGTCATAATTATTCTGTCCTCCTCAGCTGCCCAGGAGAAGCAAAAACGAACTCTCCATCTCTCTCTCTTCCTGCCCTTTGTCACTTTCTGCTATTTTTGTCTGCTGTTTTCCTCCAACCCCTCCACACACTTTGAAAAAGATGCAGAATCTAGATGTGCACTGCTTTTCCTTAAATTAATCCAATGAACATGTGTGTGTGCATGTGTATGTGCACGTGTGTGTGTGTGTGTGTGTGTGTGTGTGTGTGTGTGTGAGCTCGTCCTTATCTGGGCTGGGTAACAAAGATGACTCATAAATTTCTTATTGAAAATACTCAGTCTGAGCTGGGCCTGCAGGAAAGAAAATAAACGCACAATTTAACAAACGTGGGTCACACGGGTTGGGGGTGCACAGAGAGGTGAGGTGTTCAGCCTGGGGTGAGAGTGGTTAGACGAAACTCCTGAACTCGTTTAGGACAGAGTTCTTCTAGTGTTGTTAATGCTGTGGGTTTTAGAGCAAGGACTAACACTAATAAGAAAGGATATATGCTTTCTGTAAAATTTTTTTAAAAATGGAAAATTTTATAAGAAAGTTTAGGGAAAACATGTGGAAGACGAAAGACCTGGCTTGGAAATGGGTTGAGTGTCACAGGATGGGGGGAGGGTGGGGAGGGAGGAGGGGGTGGGGGAGGATGGTGGGAGTGGGGGAGGGAGGAGGGGGTGGGGGAGGGGGGTGAGGGTGGGGGAGATGATGACAATGACTACAGTGGCTACCCTTTTGTCTAATGCAGTCTTCTGGGTGACAAGAATCTGTGGGGGTCTCTGTACCTTTCTTTGTCTTGAAACTTGTTACAAGTTAGTGAGCTTCAGGTATCTGGTAACAATGCCAAGGACGCACATCCAGATAAATGTCACCTGAAGAATAGTCAACTTATTTGCCCCATCCAGAGAGGATGGTCAGCCTTGTGTCTAATAAGCAAGCTTATTTTAGCATTTGTGTTCATAAGTGAGGCTTTCTGAATTCACTTTTGGATAAATTGTAATGTCTTAGTGGCTCCCCTCATTAATTAATACACTAATAAACATTTCGGCACTTATTCATTTTATATTTGTGTGAGAGTCATGATTTTTACCTTGAAAAAAAATCATCCCTCATAGAAGAAAGTGAAAATAAGACAAGTCATTAAGTTAATGACCATCATTTTACATATCCTTACCACTTCCCTCATCAACGCTCCACAGACTTGCTGATATAATAATATTGATGTATTCAGTGTTACATAAATACCACAGCATACATGAATTTATCTGTTTTTTTCTGAGCTGCTTCTTAAAGGGTGACTAGAGTAAGCAGTTTGGGAATATGGATTGGGAATCCGGCAAGGAACACAGCGTGAGCAGGGCAAGGAGGAGAGGAGGTCACCACAGAGCATCTGGAAGCAGGTGCCGGGGATGACTTGAGATCAGGCTGCAGAACAGTAGTTCTCAGCCTTCCTAATGCTGCAACCCTTTCATACGGTTCCTCATGTTGTGGTGACTCCTAGCCATAAAACTGTTTTGTTGCCCCTTCATAACTGCAATTCTGCTACTGTTATGAACCATAGTGTAAACATTTGATATGCAGGATATCTAATATGGGACCCTCAAAGGGATTGTGGCCCACAGGCTGAGAACCACTGCTGTAGAATGTCAACAGTCACAATGAGTTTGACTTCATCCAGAGGCCTTGTGGGAGCCACTGAAATTTAATAAGCGAATTGAATGTGTCAGATATTGATATGATCATATTTTTGTATTGTAGGGACTGCTTCAAAGGATTGTGTGACTGGAGCTGCTCAGTTTGGTCTGGCTTCTAGTAGTCATAAAGTTGGTAGGGTGTGGCAGTCTCTGGTTATCTGAAGGAAGTGATGCAACGGGTACCTGGCCTCAGGAGATCCTGAGTAAATGACACAAGTTACCCAGCAGGTACCCAGACTCCTGCACCATCTGCCGCTGCTGTATTGGTGCCTTGCTCTCAGACTGTGCTCATGAGTGGGGAGCAGAGCCTGCGTGTGATTCAGGGGATATGCTGGCTTTTGTTTATTTATTTTTGTCTTCCTATGCTTCATATTGACCATGATCAGAAATGTCAGTGGTCATGACTAGGGAAAGGGAAGTATTACAGCAGGTCTGCTTAGGACACTTAGCACCTAAGCAGATTTTCTTATGTTGAATGTGAGGTATCAAGTCATATTCACGTAGGTATAGAGCAGGCAGCTGGGTACTCAAGCCTGCAATTGGTGTTGGCAGATATTTAGGAGTTACCACACAGACTGGCATAGTCTACCTGACAGTGAATACATTCAAAATTCAAGGATTAAAGGTGAGTCACATCAATGTGTTCTCTGTCCGTCCATCCATCTGTCTACCTTAGTTATTGTTCTATTGCTATGAAAAGACACGATGACCAAGGCAACTTATAAAAGAAAGTATCTATTTGGGGCTTGCTTATAGTTTTAGAGGGTGAGTCCATGGCAACAGACAAGCAGACATGTCATTGGAACAGCAGCAGAGAGCTATAATTGATCCATAAGTAGAGAGAGATGACTGGAAACAGCATAGATTTTTGAAAACCTCAAAGTCAGCTCCACCCCCCCAGTGACACACCTCCACTAACAAGGCCACACCTCCTAATCCTTCCTAAACAGTCCATCAGTTGGGAAACAAACATTCAAATATATAAGCCTATGAAGACCATGCTTATTCAAGCCAACTTTCTCTTTCTCCCTCTTCCCCTTCTCTCAGTGTGTGTGTGTGTGTACATTCAAATATATGAGCCTATGAAGACCATGCTTATTCAAGCAAACTTTCTCTCTCTCCCCCCTCTCTCAGTGTGTGTGTGTGTGTGTGTGTGTGTGTGTATGTTGAAAAGTAGGAAGAAAACTAGGTATTTTGCATCTTCCAAACCAAATGGATGAAATGGATATGTCCAATGTACAAAATTTAATTGTATGAAATGTCTTTATGTAACAGTGCCATGTACAATGCCTACAATAAAAATAAAAAGCATGGGCTGGAGAGATGGCTCAGTGGTTAAGAGCATTGACTGCTCTTCCAGAGGTCCTGAGTTCAAGTCCCAGCAACCAAATAGTGGCTCACAACCATCTATAATGAGATCTGGTGCCCTCTTCTGGTGTGCAAGCATACATGCTTGTATGCACTGTATATATAATAATTAAATCTTAAAAAAATAAAAAGCACAATATATGAAATGATTTTGGTTTTTGAGAATATTTATTAATACTAAAATATTATCACATACACATATGTATTTATGGCATACCATGTGATGATCGATAAGTGCATATGTTCTATAATGATAAAATTAAGGTTATACAACATTAATCCACATCTTAATAAAACTGAAAGAGAAGGGAAAAAGTCGAATGGAGAGAATTTCCAAGGAGGAGAACTAACAGCCTTGTCACTGGCTGCTGAGAACTGCAGGAAACTGCGGGCTCAGGATTGACCATTCGCTTTTTGTAATATGAAAGCCACCGGTGACTGTCACGAGAGGTTTCAGGGGAAGCATGGGGGTGCAGAACCCAAGCAGAGTGAGGCTAAGAAGTAACAAGGGAGAGTGGACATGGCCAACTCTTTCAAAGAGTGTTTTTACTCATTGTTATTTTTACCAGAGACATTGAGAAGGAAATGGGGGTGTCTGCTAGACGGAAAGGGGACTAAAAGGGGGAGGGAAACGGCAGCACTGTGAGCTGCTCGGGAGGAGCCCCGTGATCCAGACAGACAGCAAGACAGCCAGTCCCGACAGAGTAGACCAGTGAGGAGGGTCCTGAAAAACGCTGTCGAGAGCAGCTATGATTCACTCAGAAGAGAGAGCACAGGGAAGTCCCAGGGCAGAAGGGAGGCAGGTGAGAAGAACCACACTCTAATTTCCTCAGGGAACTGGGAGTGGGAGCTGACAGCGAGAGTCAAAGGTTTGGGGGCTGAAGAACGTGGGTGAGAGAGAGACGGAGCTGGAGAGGAAATGCTGACTGAGCACGAAACCGGGCCGAGCCAAAGGCTCTCTTCAGATCGCGTGCATGGAGCTTGACTGTGTATCTCATGGGTAAGCTGATCTAACTCAGTCTCAGAGGGCTGGGATGGTAGCTCAGTGCTAGCTACAGCGTTTGTCACCTCATTCAAGGCATGGTGCTCCATTCTTAGCATCACAAAAGAAAGCAATGGTTACTACCTCAGGTGTGTGAGACCTACTCTCAAAAGTACCCTTGCCTGCAAAACAAACAAAAACAACCAAAGACAAACACAGAAACAAAACCACACACAAAAAGTTTCACATCAAGTGGAATTTCTGTGAATTTTTATTATATTATACATTTAAAATTTGACTATGCGGCTAAATCAGTTTCATGTGACAGTGTGGCTTACACACCTTGTGGGTAAGCATTGGAAAGGGCGAAGAAGGAACATGCACATTTAAACACAAGTGCACTGCCCACTCCACAGCATTCAGAGTTCAGAGCATATTAGTAAAGTAGAAGAAGGTAGAGAAGATCAATTCTGAGGCACTGATTTATGGATTCACTTAAAGCACTGCCTGGACTGCCTAGTGCCAAGCATGACGACACTTGCTCCCTGGAACAGAATGATCTGGAGAAATGGCTGAAGCCATGCATCATTGCCCTTAGCATCCTGACCAATCTTGCTTGCTTGTCCTACCTTGTGGTTTTAGACTATAAAATGAGAATACAAGCTGAACTCGGGACCCGGACCTCTCAGGAGCTGTCCTGATTTTGGTCCACTGGTGAATACATCTGTTTCTTCACTCTCATTGGTGTTGGGACGCTTATTCCAGAAAGATCCCAGCAACATTAGCACAGCTTCCAAGACTGTGCTTCCAATACCAGGCCCTGCTCCTAACCGGATCGAGTATAAGGGAGAAAGGTAAGAAACCCCAAGGTGTCAATCATTAAAGGAGCCATGTTCCAGGAGCTGACACTGAGAGTAGGCTTTTGGGTGGCCAGAGGCAGACTTCTCTCTGACCAACACATTCCAGCACGATAATGACAGGGCAGAGCTGGCTGTCTTCCTCTTTGAACTTGCTAACGAAAGGGGAGTTGACAATGACGCCCCCCCCCGGCACTTTGAACAGAGGTGACTTCTCAGGCAGGCTTTGGGGAGTGCCACGCTGCAGGCAGTGAAGATCTGAACGCTGGGTTTGAAAAGAGAGCGACCTCACCAGTTTTATGTGTCATGCAGTTTAAACGCTAAAGTCGATTGCGGTGGGTCACCACAATAATCTGAGAACATTTTCATGGCTTCAGTAAGAGCTGTTCACACCTCTCTGAACTAACTTCCAATCCCACGTCAGCCTCAGGTAACTCTGACTTACTTTCTGTAGTTTAAAATACAATTTTGTCAATTAGTCTTTTCTGAACATTTCATACACATCTTAGCTACTTTTCTGTTGCCATGGCGAAACATAATAATGAAGGCAACTTATAAAAGAGTTTAATTTGGAGCTAACAATTTCAGTGGGTGAGTCCATGCCCATCATGGCAGCATGGGGCCAGGCAGGCGTAACACTGGGACAGTAGCTTAGGTCTGAGTCACAAGCACGGGGCAGAGAGAGAACCAACTGGGACAGCATGGGAATTTGGAACCTCAAAGCCCACCCCAAGTGAAACACCTCCTCCAACAAGGTCACACCTGCTGATCCTTCCCAAACAGTTGCACTAACTGAGAGCAAATACTCAAACACATGAGCCCATAGGGGCCACTCACACTCAGACCCCCACGGTGTGAATGAGAGGTTACCCATTGGAAAGTCTTTGCTTGCTTACCTGTCTGTAGCTTCCTTTTGCCTGTGGAATAGGATGCCTGTCTCAAGCATGTGGAAATGTGGAATTGAGAGAGAGAGAGAGAGAGAGAGAGAGAGAGAGAGAGAGAGAGGGAGGGAGGGAGGGAGGGAGGGAGGGAGGGAGGGAGGGAGGGAGGGAGGGAGGGAGGGAGGGAGGGAGGGAGGGAGGGAGAGAAAGAGAAAGAGAAAGAGAGAGAATGAATTTTGACACATACTTACCTAATGGAGTATCCCAGTGGCTATGTCAGAGGTCTGTGAGGAACTGGATTGTCAGGAGGACCTTCCAAGGTGGTGTCTGGCCAACTGTCTCTCCTGTGTGTGTTTTTAAGTCAGGTTATCCACCAGACCCTCCTTCCTCCAGGACACACCCACGACATCTCCCCGCCCTCTTTCCAGCCTTCAAACTGCTGAGTCATCAAAGTCTCCAACTAGCACTGGCCCCTTAATTTACAATAGGAATGATTTTATTTGCATTTACCTAATAAGTAGTGATGTTGAACATTTCTTCATATACTTTTGTGAAATGTGGTAGCCATTGTGTCTACTTTCGTGAAATGTGAATTCAGGTCTCTTGCCCTCTTAAAAAAACTATTATTTTGACAATTTCACACAGATGTAAAACACTCTGATCACACTTATCTTCACCCTCTCTAGTCCACCTCCCAAATAGGCCCACTCCTCCCGAGCCCCACCCTCCCAAGCCCCGCCCCTCCCGAGCCCCACTCCTCCCAAGTCCCACCCTCCCAAGCCCCATCCCTCCCGAGCCCCACTCCTCCCAAGCCCCATCCCTCCCGAGCCCCACCCTCCCAAGCCCCACCCTCCCAAGCCCCACCCCTCCCGAGCCCCACTCCTCCCAAGCCCCACTCACACCCCACTCCTCCCGAGCACCACTCCAACTTTGTCTTCTTGTTTTATTTTGCTTTTTCTTTGTGGCACATCACCCAGGATGCCCGCATGAGCAGGCGTGCATCACTATCGACTGAAGCAGGGTAATTCACTCGTGGGTACACCATTGAAGACAACACCCCTCCCAGCAGTAATCAGCTGCCAACAGCTCCAGGAGATGGAGGGTGGGTGGGAGCAAGGCTCCAAGAGGCCTTCCCTATCCATGACTGTCTTGCTCATTTTTAATCAACTTATCATCTATTATCAATATTAATTTTCTTGAGTTTCTTATTTATTTTGGATATTAACCCCTTATCAGATGTATAGTTTGCAAATATTTTCTCTTACTCTGTGGTTTGGCTCTTTGTTCTGTTGTTTCTGTTGCTTTACAGGAAAAATAATTAAAGTTCTTTAAATTAAGCATTTCATACGTATTTAGTGTGGGGTGACTCTCCCTCTTCTTCCCCATCTCCCTGGACCTGTTCTCCCCGTGCAGTCCCAACACTAGTATTTTCCCTCCTCTGTCACAACACATGTGTGCTATTACCCTCCGCATCTTTCCTCAAAACAACCCCACCTCATGAGCTCCTTTCTAGTCTCCTGGCCTCTACCCACGCTAATTCCCATTAAATAAATATAGAGGTATATATAACATATACATATATGACAATATACACATATAACAACTAGAAGCTAGGATTTGCATATGAGAGAAGACATGTGTTTGTTTCTGAGCCTGGCTTACTTTGTTTAATAAAATAGTTTCCAGTTCCATTAATTTACCTGCAAATTTCATTTTCCATTATGACCAAATAAAATTTGGCTGTGTACAATACCACATTTTGCTTACCCATTCATGTGTTCCCTCCATCTGGGATGATTCCATCCTCTCGCTATTTTGCCAGAGCAGCAATAAACAGACATGCCCGTGTTTCTGTGGTAGGATACCGAGTCCTTTGAGTGTGTACAAAGGAGTGGCATTGCCGGGCCACAGGGTAGTTCTGGGTCTGGCTTGTGAGAAGCCTCCACACTTTTTAATTTGGTACGATCTCACCGGGCAGTTCTTGCTTTTGTTTCCCATGCTTTTAAAGTTTTATTAAAAATTCTTTCCCAGGTGAAGGTCATGAATCTTCACCTTTGCTTTCTCCTATTAGTCCCTCCCATTCAGTCTTTAATCTATTTTGTTGTTGTTGTTGTTGTTTGTTTGTTTGTTTTGGTTAGTTGTGTAGATCAGGCTGGCCTTGAACTCATAGAGATTCATGCTTCTCCCAAGTGCTAGGATTAAAGGCCTGTACCACCTGGTTCTAATCTGCCTTGAGTTGATTTGGGGATATGGAGAGACATAAGGATCTAGTTCACTGTTCTGTATAATATACCACTTCATGCCAGTAAAAAAAATGGCTATTATTAAATGAGTCAAAGACAAAACCTTGCCAGATTGTGGAGAAAAGGAAGCCCCTGCATGTATTCATACACTCATCATGGAAACAGTATGGAGGGTCCTCAATCAATGAAAACTAGAACTTGGACTGGAAAGAGGGTGTGGGTTCAAGTCCCAGCACCCACATGACAGCTCACAGACATCTGTAACTCTAGTCCTGGGGAATCAGCCTTGGTTACGATTCTATTGCTGGAATAAGACATCATGATCAAGGCAATTCATAGAAGAAAGAGTTCATTTGGGGCTTAAAGTTTCAGAGGGTTAGAGTTCACTGCAGGGAGTATGGTATCAGGCAGACATGTGGCTGGAGCAGTATCTGAGAGCTTACACCAGATCCACAAGCAGGAGGCGTAGAAAACTAACTGGGAAGGGCATGGGTGTTTGAAACCCACCTTCTCCAACAAGACCACACCTCCTCATCCTTCCCAAACAGTTACACTACCTGGGGCTGGTTCTACACCCTAAGTAAGGGACATCATCATATCAAAGAGACACGTGCACTCCCATGGTCATTGCACTACTGTTTACAGTAGTTAAGATATGGAATCTTATCTCCTGATGAGGTATGACTATTATACACTCAATGGAACACTATTCAGCCACAAGGATGGACTCCTGTCATTTGTAACAACATGGATGCACTTGGAGGACATTGTGTTAAAGTGACATAAGCCAGATACAGAGACAATAACACATGATCTAACTAACACATGGAATGTGGAAATTTGATGCCATAAAGGTAGAGTAGAATAGTAGGAGGTAAAGAAGAAGACTGCTGAGATTTAACAGTGTGTACAAAGGTACAGCTAGAAGACTCTGATGTTGGAGTGCACAACAGGGTGATTGTAGATAACAAAAAAGGACCATACATTTCCAAATGATTACAAGAGAAGACTTTTTGAAGGCAGCCATGCTTACCACTATGGCATCAATACACACTAGAAGATAGGATTTTGACTATTCTGCAAATAAAGAAATGATAAATGCTATAGGAGATGAAGATGGTAATTATCCTTAACTGATCACTCTATATATTTAGTGAAATGTCACAGTAAACCCCATAGATACACAAAATTACATATTAATTAAAAATAAAAGCAAATAAGATCCAAATGATGCTCTGTGTATCACATAAGGACCCTTTCCTTACACATCTTTGCTTCTTTCCACTGAGCACAGAGACCTCTGTGGATTTCTATAACAGAACTGTGGAGCAGAATATATGTGTTGGTTATCAAGCCTGAGAAAGCACAATGTTCTTGTCTTAGTTTGGGGTTCTATTGTTCCAATGAAACACCATGGCCAAAAGCAACTTGGGGAAGGAAGGGTTAAGTTCACTCACAGTTCCATGTAACAGTTCATCATCAAAAGCAGTGAGGGCAGGAACTCATATAGGGCAGGAACATGGAGGCAGGAGCTGATGCAGAGGCCATGGAGGAGTGCTGCTTACTGGCTTGCTCCTCATGGCTTGTTCACCCTGATTTCTTATAGAACCCAGGACCAGCAGCCAAGGGATGGCACTACACACAATGGTCTTGGTCCTCTCCCATCAATCACTAACTAAGAAAATGCCCCACATGCTTGAGTACAGCCAATCTAATGGAGGCATTTTCTTAATTGAGGTTCCCTCAGATGACTTTAGCTTGGGTCAAGTTGACAAAAAGTACAAAGTACAAAGCCCTGGGGGCAGACTCTGAACTCTTTATCCCATTTCTCTGGATATCAGAGTCACCAGGAGAAACACAGCACTTATGAAGTATAGAGAGAAGATGGGGTGAGATTATCTTTAATAGTATACATCATTTGCCCCTACACAGGACATCCACCTGGCAGTCAGCGCCAATCAGTTACTTGTGGCCCTCTCATATGACTGTAAAAGGGTCCTGGCATTTCCCCGTAGAAGACAGTATCAGAGGCCTTGGCCAGATGCCATGTGATGTACATACTGGAAAGAGCACTCTCTCTTGAAAGGAAATGTTTCTTCCCATCCAAGGCCAAGAGGTAGAAAGACGGGAAGCATGAGATGGCCTCTCCTAATGCGCTGCATTCATCAGCTAGTGACCTCTGTTCTCACTCTTGTATTTTTTACACATCAGACGCTCTATTCTGTTGCCTAAAACTTGGAACCTCAAGGTCACTCCAGATCTGATTCTATTTTATTTGACATCGTTGTGACTCTTCCCCGTCAAACCCCATATCTCCTGTCTCTAAGAGGTGACTCTCACTGTGCTCCTGCTGCCTTTGACGACGTGGGCCGTGCCTTGTCAACGGTGTGACTCTGCTCTCGTGTCTGAGTCAAGCCATAGAGATTTTCCCAAGGTGAAAAGGTGACCAAGTTCACACCGTTGTTAAGATCCAACAGTGGTTCTGTTAGATTTTATGACTGAGTCCTTGGCCTCCTATCCTGAGATGGAACAGCTCTGCCTCTGACCACCTGCCCAGCTTCTTCTCCCGACTCAGAAGTCTGTGGAAGTCTTCTTCTGTAAGGAAGCCTGATCCCACGTGCCTATCTTGTTCTACACGTCTGTCTCTCCAGCCAGAACCCAGGACTCATCCCTTCCCATTTTTCATTCTCAAGCAGGCTGTAAGTACCTCAAGGGCAGGGCTGATGTTTTAGACTTCTCCAGGGTCAACTTTGCACATGACAGGCTGTCATTTCTTTTTTTTTTCTTCATATTTTTTTATTTAACTTTTTACATGTCACTCTCAGTTCCCTCTCCCTCCCCTCCACCCCACCCCCCAATCCTCCTAACTCCTCACTCCCACTCCATTCCCCCTCTGCTCCCCAGGGAGGGGCAAAGGCTTCCATGAGGAATTTTCAGAGTCTGTCACATCATCCTGGGAAGGGCCTAGATCCTCCCCGATGTGTCCAGGCTGAGAGAGTATCCCTCCTCCACGTGGTATGGGTTCCCAGAGTCCCTCTGTATGCCAGGAATAAATACTGCTCTAATCTCCAAGGTCCCACAGATTGTCAAGGC